GCATGGCTGGCTGGGGAATTCTGGGAGTTGAAGTCCACCCATTTTCAAGTCACCAAGGCTGAGAAACACTGATGTATACCATTTCAGTTTGAAGGACTGAGATTGGAAACTGATATTCCCGGCCTTCACTCTTTTTAAGGACTTTCAGGGACGCCGAAAGCCGGCTCTCTTACAATAATCTCAGTTTAGAGCAAGGTGCCTGCTTAGATCGACACTTTTCACACCCACGACATTCGTAATTAAGCATGATAATAATGTATTACATTTATACGCCGCCTGATTCCCAGCCACTCTGGGATTAGGCAAATTAACCGATGGAGGCAGATTCCTTTGATTTGGATTTTTGGAACGGATTTGCTCCTCTGGCAACTTGCACCCGATTTCAAATCAGGCGCAAGTTCTTTGGAATCCGTTCAGGCGTTCCGTCGGATTTCGCACATCCCATCGCTTTGCGGGTTGGATCTGTGCCTTCCGTTCAAGGGGTGACTTGGCTGAATCACCCTTTCCGATCGAGTCCTTCAAATGAATATCTTTACAGCCCTAGAGGCTGTCTTTGGCCTCCCGCATCAGGGGCAGTCTACCTCTGGCTGATAGTTCCTGGGAACAAGAGGAGCAAGAAGCCTCTTAGATCCCATCGGTGAGCTTCCTACAGGAGTCCAGCTGGACCTGTTTAGGATCCTTAATCCCTTTGCCACCTTCTGTCTTTCGAGGAGCCCTTTTTCATGGCTTGTTGGCAGCAAGACCTAAACTGACAGCTGCCCAGACGGGCTCCGCTCGGATGCCTCTTCTCCTGAAAGGGTCTCTTCTCTGCCCTCACTTGGAAAGAAATCAGAGCTTTGAGGTCAAGCGGGGTCACCCTTTCAGGTGTCCTTCAGAAACTGCCTTCTCCCAGGTCAAAACGGGGCTCCGTCCAGCTCCGGGCTGGCTACACGGACTGGCCGCAGTTCCCCAGGAAGCCCCATCGGGGTCTTTCCCAGCCCTGCTTGCAGCTGCTGCTAGCAGGGGTTGAATCCTGGACCTTTTGCCCGCAAAGCAGACCCTTGGCCAGGATTCTAGTCCTCGTGAGCCAGACTCACAGCTTGACAGAAGGAAGAAGGTAGCTGCCCCCTCCTTAGAGCATCAGTCCAGCTAGCTAAGCACCATCCAGATCAACCGGTACCTCGGCATCTCCAGCCAGGGTCCCTCCCGGCCCCTCCCGGAAACCCAGGGGTGGGGCTCACTTGGGTGGGGCTTGACGAATTCCTTGGCGTGCAAAATAGCCCCTTGGTAGGAGAGTGCCGAGCTGCAAGAGCGCTGTCCTTGTAACTCCTCCCGGCATCTAATGCGGCTTTCCGTGAAAACAGGACCGCTTGATTTAAAACCCCAGCTCACATCAGTCCTCGCTGGGGGAGCTGCAGAGGACTCAGCATTCAGCAGGAGGTAGCCCTGTTTTCGAGCAAGGGAACCCCTGAGGGGTGCAGGCGAACCCCAACTTGTGTCCCACTGATCATACACAGAGGCTTCCTTTTCACCTCCTGGTTTAACACTGAGAAGATTCCCGCCTGGCCTTCCCTAAGGCTTCAGTGCTTCTGGTCCTTAAAAACATGACAGTAAGCGTGGAGCCTTTCCTCCGTTTGCTCTGGCTTGCGTTTTAGCCGTGTTAAAAGGCTGTAAGAAGTTTGGGGGCAGAGGCCTGTTCCCTTGCGTTTCGTAAAGAAAAGGGCAGGTGGGTGACACCGCACGGTCCGCAGGAGTTTGAAAGCCCCGAGCTGCTGGGGCAGGAACGGGAGGGAGCCCTCATCGTCATCGCCATTAGCCACAGGGCAAAGGCGAAGACGCCTAAGACGGGGTTAGGGTTGCCGACCGGGGTTTGCAGCCACAGCCACAGAAGATGCCCCCCGGGACAGTTGCTCTCAACTCCCGTCGTGTTCCCAAGCGATTCACGAGTGGAAAGGGTGGCCTCCCACGTCAGGTGCGTTCACACAACATGCTTAGCTCAGTTGGTGAAAGACAGTCCAACCGCAGGCTATGTATGGTTAGTTTCATTTTTTAATATTTTTGTAATCTATATTTTATAAATAACTCGAGGCGGCGAGCATACCTAATCCTCCTTCCTCCTCCTGTTTTCCCCACAGCAACAGCGAAGTGAGTTGGGCTGATTGAGCGGGACTGGCCCAAAGTCGCCCAGCGGCTTTCGTGCCAGACTAGGACTCAGAGTCTCCTCTTTCTAGCCTGGAGCCTTCACCACTAGACCGCACTGGCTCTCTGGCGAGGTTGGAGAGCCTGTGCAAATCCAAAC